AGGGTTGTTTGATTGTTTGGTTGTTGGGTTGTAGGGTTATTGATATACGACAAATCCATATGTAGCCTCCTAAAAAAAAGAAGAAAGAGGCTATGGCAAATCTGTGCCCGCTCTGCGAAGTGCGGACAATACAATTTCCTGAAAATCCGTTCAAAATTCGATTTTAAAGACAGACCCGCAACACAGAACTGAATTTTCCAAAACGATTGTTCTTTAGAATGTACTGAATTGCTATTGTTTATGAGTACATAGGGATAATATTATTTATTTTAAAAAATGGCAAGTATGTATGATACAATGTATGAACATATGGTATGGCTCTCATAGTCGTTGCAGTGGTTCATTATCTGTATGAGCTGCGTTGTTCATGTTGAGTCCTTGTGGGTTGAAGAGCGTAATCCTCATTGGTCCTAACATTGTTCATCATCGGTCAATACTACTGGGCTCTCCTATTTGACGATGTCAGCCATTTCTATATCATTGCCTGTCGTCAAAGAGTCCGTCGTGGAAAGCTGAGGCTGCGTATTGCTATTCATCGTGTCGGATGATTGTGTCGGGGAGACCGTTGGTATATGAAGTCGTCCGGGTTCCGCACGCGCTGATTCTTTAGCGTTTACCGGGATTCGCGGGTTAAGTGAGAAGAGGTTGCATCATGCTTTGCTTGGTAAGCCTTCTGGAGACGGTCCGCGGTAGATTGGAGGATGTCTGCGTTAGTGGAGTTGACAAGTGGGCTCAGTAGTGCATCCATGCTGCGGACAAGAATTTTTGATGCTCGTTCATGTGTGCAGCGGGCCTCCCGCTTGGTGCGGAGATAGTGAATTAAAGCTACTTTCGTAGCGTCGGGATGTTGTTGGGAGCGGGGATTGATGTTTTTATCAAGCTGCCATTTCCACGTAAGTGCTGCACGCCGTTTCACCTGGGCGACAGAGTCGCTAGGAACACAAAGGCGGATGAAACTGGTGGAGCTTCCGCGGCGATTTGGTTGAGAAGTACATAGGGATAATAATATTTATTTCAAAAATGGCAAGTACGTGCTTGAATAAATTCCTACAATTTTTATTGGATTCTCGTTTCGGACAACGAAAGGCGAAGTATTTATTTTTTCAAAACAAAAGGTTCTTCAAGAAGATCACTTTATCGGACAACGAAAGGCGAAGTATATATTTTGCCGTTGCCAGACCTCGAGGAGTCGAGGCTCGGGACTCGAGACTTTAAGTTTAGGTCGAGATTCAACTGTCGACAGTGTCGAGTGAAAGACTCGACTTCACTCGAGTGACGAGTCTCGACCTTCACGGCCTAGCTTCTCGAACCTCGTTTAATCGTACTCTGGGGATTTGTCTTCATCGTTGATATTCATCAAAAGATGCGAGTCGGTCTCGGTGACTCGGCGTCTCTATTCTGATTCACTAGATACAGACAGCTGATTTTTGAGTTTACTTTTCGCATTCAGATGAGACCTGCCTGCCACCTGCTGGCTTAAACCCCTTGTGTGTATACGAGCCTGTGTGGGCTTTACGTAAAGTTGAGCCTGTTTACTGGCCCAATTTCCATCTGAAAAATTCAAGCATAAATATTGTATATAGTATCTAAATATACTCGATTCACCCCCCCCCCCCCTCAAGCTATGGCCTATACTGAGCAAATGGACATTCTTTTGATACTCACAGATTAATTTTGTTATATACTGTGGGCAATATTTTGGTTTTGTATCGACCATGTAAGCGGCGCGCTAATTTGTTCAATGGAGCTGTTATTGCTATTCTAATAAACGCTGGACGTCAGGTTCGTGAGCTTTCAATAATTTGATGCAGAAATTAGAAATATGCCGCTGCGCTCTTTGAAAAATGATCGTAGCGTACATAAACTTGCGTATCTAAAAAACGGACGTGTTCTGAGTCATATAACGTCTTATATATACATTCGACGCGAATTTGGATTTTCATACTCGTCAGTATTGAATATATATGTAGGATTCTTATTACAAATGATAAAATGCACTGAACTTGCTGGTGGAGGGATCTAGATTGCACACAACTATTCCCAGTTCACTCAACAAACAAGGTTTTTAGATTACAAATTTGTCAAACAACCTCCTGAAATTTGTTTACTTTATATAACTAAAAGCTGCCTGAAAACCAGCCTTCTTACTAGAGGAGATTCTCTCTAACCCCGTTCCCTTAGCATCATGAAAATACATTGCTGATTGCAGCCAGCGAAAGCTATGTACACCCTTCCCTGTGTGATATGATGCCCCTCCCTGTGTGGCTATAGTAGTCAATACAAAAGACACTATGTTTAAGCACTCACCAGGTTCCATGGCCTATGCTCGCCTGCCACTCTAAGAACAACTTGCATTACCACTCTTTTTTCTTTCACTAATATTCCAAAGTATGGCTGTCAGAGTATCACCGCGATGAGGCTATGTTTTTGCCCCAGACACAGCGTAGAATTCGAGCAAACAACTGTGCGCCTGCCCTACCAAAATCGGACTCCTGAATATGCGTAAGCATCTCCATCACATGTGCATATATCCGGAACACAGTAAGCATAGGAAGCATAGCTTTTGCACACAGTGTGCTGGATCAGCACCAACAACTCCTGCCTACTCCAAGGTCGCTCGCCACTCTTTGAACTTGGGGAAATGCTCCACACGCATATTCGTCAGAACAGCCTCGTACGCAGTGTCAAATAGGCACAGCAGCTTGCGATACTGCACACTCAGATCCCCCAGGGTGTGAAGCTTCTCCAGGCTTTTCCGCACCTCTCGTACAGTGCTCATGGGCAGGTCCACCTCGTACATGCTGGCCGGTGTCATGTATTTGACGAACAAGTCCTTGCTCATGGCATGTGCCTTGCCCACGTTGCTATGTGTGATATCTCGGTCTGGGCTGGCGTTGGCTGTGACATACTCCTTGTACGCATTCACAGCATCCAAGAACATGAGGCCTTCCTCCACATGGCCCATCTCTAGAAACTCGCGGAATAACTGCCGTTGCTGATCATCCTGCATCAGCTGCGCCAGCGTAGTGCTCTCACTGATCGCACGTACTCTCGACGCCTGTGACCCGTTCTCCGTGTCCAGGCCGTTTGCACTGGAGTTCCCAGCCGCATTCCCGCCGTCGCCCACGCTGCGCTCGTTCGTCCCCGGGGGTGGGGCCATAGCAGCCGACGGGTAGTCGTAGCAACGAATGCGCGATGTGTGGGTGGTGATAGGCGCACCCTGTTTGCGGGCTGGCGAGCGCTCGGCTTGTTCTGACATGTGGGTGGTGACAGGATCTCGCAGGCACAGATCGTCGCTGAGTGGGTGTCGGTGGTAGTGGTCGAGGACGTCATCGATGGTTGCGAAGGGTCGGTTGCCTATGAGGAAGCGTGTATTGCCTTCCCGTGTTTTCTGTGCGTGTATATAGTATTGGATTGAATTGAATTGCTGGCAGGGAATAGTTCTAGTGAGATATCCAATCCGTTGTGCAGATGGTCTTTCATATAGTATCTACTGAAAGTTTTATAAGAAGCACACAGTAGTGCGCAGAGGTTTGCATGAATGGTGAGTGAAAGAGTAAGAGTGGTAGGTTGGATCGATTCGCTATAGGTTTATAAACACCTTGTTGCCCAACATACTAGCATCTGCACACGTATCATATAATACAATACAAAGTCTTATTTGCGCCACTCGATGACGGTACATAATATGCATGAAAATTGATTATTCCGCGTGTATTGGCATACTAATATATTAATAATATATATATATATATATATTATATTTATGAACATAGACAGATTCACACGCCGACACCCACCAACACACACACACACACATATATATATATATATATGTGTGTGTATACATCAAACACACATAGACACTCTCACACACTTACTTGTATATTATATAAAAATATGTAGGTTTGTTGAAAAATATAAATGCATATACTTTAATAAGAATATAGATCATAAAAACTATATATATACGATTATGTAGGTGAATACCAATATATCCCTGCATCTTTATCTATATACATACATAATTAAAAGCATACCTATACTTGTGATAGAAGTATAAATATATGAAAACCTTTTTATGACCTCTATCTTCTGTTCGATGCTACCTTACTCAAGATCCTGTTCAGTATATATATATATAAATGTATACATTAATATATATATATATATTAATATATATATATATAAATAAATAAATATGTTGAGCTAAAGATTTAGATTTAGTTTTAGATACATACATACACGCACAGACACACGTGTACACACACACACACACACACACGTACACACACACACACACACACACACACACGTAGTACACACACACTACGTATACACACACACACACACTATATATATATATACTATATAATAACTACACACACACACACACATATATATATATATATTATATATATATATATA